TGAGTGGAGCTTTTGTTAGAAAGGGAATAAAGATGAATGTAAGGAAGACGAAAGTGATGGTGTTTGAAAAAGATGAGGCAGTGACAGACTGCAATATTGTGATTGAAGATGAACAAATTGAACAGGTGAAAGAGTTTGTGTATCTGGGTTCAAAGTTTACAAGAGATGGAAAGTGTGAGAGTGATATCGAAAGAAGAGTGAATGCAGGAAACATGGTGAATGGAGCTTTGCACTCCTTTATGAGCAGTTGGAAGGTGTCTAACAAGGGTCGTTTGGCTGTGCATGAGGGGGTGTTGGTTCCGACACTCATGTACGGAAGTGAAAGTTGGGTATGGCAGAAGAAACATGAAAGCAGAATAAATGCAGTTGAGATGAGAGCATTAAGAAGTATGATAGGAGTTAAAATGAGTGACAGGATAAGAAATAGTGAGATAAGGAAACGTTGTGGTCTGAAAGAAGATGTAGTGACAAAAATTGAGGAAGGTATACTGAGATGGTTTGGACATGTCGAGAGAATGAATGAAGAACGATTGACGAAAAAAGTGTATAAGGCGAGTGTGAATGAAAGTGTTGGAAGGGGTAGACCTAGGCGGACATTTCTAGACCAAATCAGGAACGTCTTGAAAAAAGGCCAGGTCAAGAGTACCCTAAACCGTAGAGCATGTATGAAGGGAATAATGAAAGTAGATGAAGCGAAACAAGTATGTAAGGATCGTAGCAAGTGGAAAGAAGTGGTCTCTGCCTACCCCTACGGGAAAATATGTATGTATGTATGTAATGTAAAACATTCGAAAACCAATGTGCTCTTAAATGGGGAGGAGTTGAGTCTTATGGATACCACTGTTTTTCTTGCTATTGACGCGAAACTTCAATGGGGCCCCCATATATTTAAATTAGCAAGCAGACTTAGTTCTGCAGCATATGCTGTAAGAAAGAGAAGTCTCACAGATGTTGAGACAGCTAGGTTGGTGTATTTCAGTTACTTTCATAGCGTAATGTCTTATGGAATTTTGCTATGGGGTAATGCGACTGATATTGAAGCTATATTTGTTTTGCAAAAGAGAGTCGTACGGGCGATTTATAATCTAAATTGTAAAGAGTCCCTCCGAGAAAAATTTAAAGAAATAAACGTATTAACTTTGGCATCTCAATATATTGATGAAAATGTAATGTATTTACATAAAAACATAAAAAGCTTTAATAAGAATTAGAATGTTCATACCTTGAATACTAGGATCAAACATAAGCTTGTAATGCCAGTTACTAGACTCCACAGAATTAGTAATTCATTTATGGGGCAATGTATACGCTTTAACAACAAAATCCCAGAACATATTCAAAGTTTGTCAATAAACAAGTTTAAAAGTTTTATTAAAGAAAAACTGTACAAAAAGGGTTATTATAATATCAAGGAATACATTAATGAAAATAACCCCTGAAAATAAGGTGATCGCCACTGATGCTGGTTCTATGAAAATTCATTTAAAATTGTATAAACAAAATTATTGTTAAGTGAAATTATGTTTAAAAAAAGTCCCGCTGGGTTTCTTACCGGTTCTTCCCAGGACAGAGGTATTTTCCGAACCAGTGGTAAATGAAAAATGACATTCAATAAGTATTATGTAATAATCAATATTGAATAAAAATCATTCTATTCTACTAATAGCACAGTTGAAAGAGAGTATAGTGTCTATTATCATCATCATCATTACAGCCCTTCACAAGTACACTGCTGAACATAGAATGCCACAAAGCATGGTCCTGAGCCACCTGCATCCATCGACTTCCTGCATGTCTAACCAGGTCGTCACTCCATCTAGTGGCGAGCTGCTCTACTCATCGCCTACTGGTACTAGGTTGTCACTCGAGAACCTTGTTTCCCTTTCGGTTGTTGTTCTTCGAGCTATAAGGCCGACCCATTGCCTGATACACTTGTTCTGCTGCGGATTTCCTCATTTCTACGTCTATCACGCAGAGAAACCCCGAGCATAGCCCTCCATAACTCGCTGAGCGACCTTGAGCTTCTCATACGACCAGCAGTGAAGGATCACGTCTCAGATTCATAAGTCACCATTAGCAACATGCATTGATTGTACAATCTCGTCTTCAAGTTTTGAGGTATAACTAATGTCTATATTCTGTATTAATAGTGCGTAACAGATGTAGGCGTTGAGTGGCAATATAATGCAGTAATGCACCCACGCTAGAAAATTCGGTTCGGTTTAAAGAATTTTATATCTCATTAAGGCAGTTGTCACTTTAATGAAAACAATAATATTAATAATGTTCTTAAATAATCTTCTTTTAAACATATTGATTGAAGTTGCTTCATGTGTTTTGGAAGTTTATTGTTTATCTGGGCTCCTCCCTTCATGACTATACTATAAAAAGTCATGACTATAGTATAAAAATTCCTGACTATAGTATAAATGTTATTTTTACTATAGTCATGAATTTTTAAGTTATTTTAATGGACAAAGCTGTTACGAATTAATTCTAGGAAACTAAGTATATTATTACGTCCCATATATTGCAATTTTCTCTGTCTGACAAAGCATTTGATTTTTCCTTTTGTTAAGTTATTTTTTGACGACTTTACACGACGGACGTTTACAATTCCACTGGTTTTTGTATATATGTTATGAACATATTTTGATAGTTTTTTGTTTTTAATTAAATAGGTTATACTTTATGAGTGGTCCCATATAAGTTTGAAGAGTAAATTCCACCCCTAAAGATGGCGAAATAGGGAATGACATTGAGTTTGTAATATTCAAAACAACAAAACTAACATTTTGAAATTAAATCTTTAAATCGACACACTATTTATAGAATAAGGGTGAAAACGAGCACGTAGTCCACCTGATGGTAAGTAAATCTACATTTCTCCTTGATGAAGAATCAAAATACAGATGTGTTGTCATCCCTGAGGACTAATGGAATGCCTCGTTTCCAGTAAAAAGGATCACTCCGGTTCTCTACACACAACACGAAACACAGCAGCCTTAAGAGGAAATGCGGGCCGAGAGACTTGAAAATTAGGTATTTGAAGACAGTATCGCTGTCGCTCTTTGCGAGCGCTCGGCGTCCGATAACGACAATTGCAGATCCGACTGAATGGCCTAAGTAAAAAGGTATAATTCGAGGTTAGGCTCTCTACCACTTCCTTCTCCAATAATGGACCAATTTAAAATATTTCATAAACTCGATAACAATGATATACACTGTGTCCCTATGTTTTTCTTTTTTCAGTATTAGTTATCAAATTTAAACACTGAACCGCTTAAAACTAAACGCGAAAAACTTAACCGCTCTGTTGACAGCGGTCTAAATAGGCAATTTTGAGCATTTTGTAAGGGTTCTAGTGCTTATAAAGAAAATGTATCATCAAAAAGGAAAACATAGGGACATACTTAGAAGAGGTTGATATTTATTTTACTGTAAAAACTCACTGCTATTAGGTCATAAACTAGAAAGAAAATAAAGCGTTCGTATGGAGAAAAGACCATCCGCATTTCCTCTTAAGCTGCTATTTTATCTGATATTCTGTGAGAGTCCTACCCCGGTCGAGCCGACACATCCGCGCTACAACTAATATAACTGCAGCGTGGCTCTACCACGTACCTATATTATTTCTGTTTTAGCACCGACTTCATATTGTGAAATTATTTTATTCTTCTTAATTCTTTGTAGACTGTTTTTATTTTTTATTATAAGTATTTTTTTTTCTATTTGTATATCATCCGTACAAAAAATGATCACCGCGCATGTGTTCGAAATCCAACATGATGCGAACAATTTTGATTTACATACTAGTGGTTTTCGTCTGCTTTACTTTATTTTATAAATACTGAAGTGACATTCCACTAGATGATAAGCTACTGCAGATCATGGACAACTGCAGCCAACTTCAAACCGACTATGCTTCACAGCCTCTAGTTAATATTGTCTCTCTATACATTGAGACTGAAACACGGCAGTGTATGCACTGTTGCTTAAAACATAGAAATAGCCAGACGGATTGTTCCGTCTACTAAATTTTTTTATAAGTATGGTTTCATTTATTATATATAGATATTTTTGTTATTAATTGTTACTTGTTGTACAGATCTTTTTGTATGTTTAAAGTTGTTTTAATTAAAACAGAAGTTGAAAACGTGTTTAATACTTTATTTTAAATATCAATGAATAAATTGAATTGCATAATGCCAGTCAGTCACATATTATATTAAGATTGAACGTGAAAACTAATTTACAAATAAATATAGGTACAACGCTATTTGTATTCTTTTTTGCGAACATCTATATACATAATTGGGTCATTTCATTTAATTCTCTCCTAGTCATAATTGACATGTTATTTCATATGACATTTCTATTTATAATTTCTACGGGCGATTTCACTTACAAATGTCAAATAAACTTAAATACGTGGGTATATTTGCCTCTTTTTTAAAATATTATGTATTGACTTTACTAATTTGTAGGAGATTGTGCGAATATACAACCAACTCAGCACATTGATATAAAAAGTATTTTTTATTTTATTTTTTATAGGATAGGGTGATAAACGAGCACATAGCCTACCTGATGGTAAGCGGTTGCTCTGACCCATAGACATCTACATTTATCCTCAATAAAGAATCAAAATGCAGATGCGTCGTCACCCGTGAGGACTAAGATGGAATGCCTCTTTTCCAGTAAACTGGGTCTCCGGTTCTCTACACTCACCATACGAAACACAGCAGTGTCAAGCTGCCATTTTACGTTAGAGCGTGGTCCTTCCCCGATCGAGCCGACCCATTCGTGCTACAACTATACTATAACTACTAATATAGCTGCAGCATGGCTCTACCACGTAAAATATCTATGTATATCGCATTAGTCAATTACTTATAATTTTAAACACTTGTGGATTTGTACATTGGTGCTTATGTGAAACCGTTATAATTGTTCATGTAGTTGTAGTCAAAAAGAATTTCTCTTTTAGCGTTTTTCTTTTAATTATAATCGTCACCAAATAACGCAGCTGCCTCAGGATCGACGGCTTCCGTCAAACTCATTTGCATATCCGTCCATGCTTCTCTTTGATTGTCAATAAAATAATTTATTTCCAATATCCTGTCCCTGTTTCGCTTTATTTCGTTACTGTAAAAACAAATTTAAGGATTAAAATTATTTTGTGTTCACTTTGATAAATAGTTAAAAAGTAAAGTAAAGTTGCAGCCTATTTACGTCCCACTGCTGGGCACAGGCCTCCTCTCAATTCTGAGAGGGTTTTAGGGCAAGGAAATGTCCGCCGCGCTGCCCCAATGCGTGTTGGCGAACTTCACATGTCTTCAAAATATTTTTTTTTTCTTATTTCTCAGACATGCAGGTTTCCTCACAATGTTTTCCTTCACCGCCGAGCACGTGGTAAATCAGCACTTAAAATTGCAATTAACAATTTCATTGGTGCCGGGTTGCTCGAGTACTGTGAAGCTTACAGCGAGCGCTAACCATCTGAGCTACCACGGCTTTGATAAAGTTACACTACAATTATCGTCATCGCAAGCCACCACAAATCCACTGCTGAACGGCATCCTTCACATTTTGACATGTGAGGTACCCGCATCCGTAGACTACACTCCACAATACCCTATGCTTTTTCCCCCCGTAAATCCTGAATACTGGTCAACTCCTTGAAACTACACTCTTATTTTTGGTTGAAACATCGCAGGTTTTATGGTAATTTTCGCCTAGGTAAATGAGCAGAAGGAGCATAAGTAAAAATCCACACAAAATAAAGTAACAATAAATACCTATTCTAAATGCTGAAATTATCTTTTTACGCGTATTCGCATTATAGGCTATTAGATTACGTTGCTAATGATGATAAGGTATTTTTTTCGCTATGCACATTGAGTTATCTACGACCTTATCCTTAAAATGTTATCTTTATACTTACTCGTTAGTTCCACTTATGAGCTGGTCACGCCAGTTGTTGGCGCGTGTCATTAGAAGATCTTCGCGCGCATCGATGAAACGCATGTGATTGTCCGACGATTGGGCCACCACGTTCATCATCGTATCGCGGTCCATCATGATCTGTTTTTTTTTATTCGAGTTTTATTCCTCACCCTGTCCTGTCCTTAAAAATACTACTGGACGCAGATCCCTTAGGTAGTAGGGAGGATTAGCGATTATCGCCGCGATTGGGATGTGGATGGATGTTTGCAGTAGGTACACAACGCCTCGCACCCTTCACACACATGTGCTAGATGATTAAACCCGGCATCTTTCCAGTAGTGTAGCAAGGGGGGAGGGACGCCATAATTTTTTATAGCTATATTTTTTTAGAACACACATTCCACCTGATGGTATGATGATGTGGCCCATAGACATCTACATCTATCCTCGATTAAGAATCAAAATGCAGATACGTTGCCACTCCTGAGGACTAAAATAGAACGCCTCGTTTCCAGTAAAAAGGATGTCCGGTTCTCTACACTCACCATACAAAACACAGCAGCGTTAAGCTGCTATTTTACGCTGGTATTATATAAGAACGTGGTCCTTCCGTCCAGCGACCCATTCGTACTACAACTATACCAGTAATATAGCTGCAGCATGGCTCTACCTCGTAAAAATAATATATTGTTTTATTCATTTTTAACGGGCTTTACGGCTCTGGGTTCTAGCCCTTCTGAGCCTGTGTTTTATTCATTTTCTATAATATACTAGAGAATATAATAGTAGTAACTAGTGTTATGCCTAGAAGTCCGTCTAGGTGGGCACCACCTTCTTGCCTATCTCTGCTTACAAATAGCAGTGCTTGCACTGATGTCTTCCGGTGTGAAGGGTAAACAGTTAGCATAATGACAAGCTGTGAGGTATTCCATCTTATTACTCTAAGGCAGGGGTCGGCAACCTTTTGAGTCGGACGAGCCAAAAATTACAATTTACAAAATTACTAAGTTTTTAAAGAGCCACAATTTTTTTTTCTTGCAAACCATAAATAGTACTTCCATAAAGTAAGTTTCTTGATAAAAAACTAACAGCCTTTCACAAGTCTACTGCTGAACATAGGCCTCCCCCAAGGAATGCCACAAAGCACGGTCCTGAGCCACCTGCATCCATCGACTTCCTGCATGTCTTACCAGGTCATCACTCCATCTAGTGGGGGGTCGCCCTACACTTCGCCTACCGGTACGAGGCTGCCTCTCGAGAACCTTTCTTCCCGATCGGTTGTCGGTTCTTCAAGCTATATGGCCGGCCCACTGCTACTTCAGCTTACTAATCAATTGCCCTATGTTGGTTACTCTTGTTCTACTGCGGATATCCTCAATTCTAAGTTTACCACGCAGAGAAACCCCGAGCATAACCCTCTCCATAGCTCGTTGAACGACCTTGAACTTCTTCATACGGCCAGCAGTGAAGGACCATGTTTCAGATCCGTAAGTCATCATTGGCAACACGCACTGGTTGTACAATTTCGTTTTCAGGTTTTGAGGTATGTCCAACGAGAAAATGTGTCGTAGTTTCCCGAACGCTTCCCAGCCGAGTTGAATCCGTCGATTGCCCTCTCGGTCGAAGTTGGACTTACCTAGTCGGACTATTTGTCCCAAGTAAACATACTCGTCAACAATTTCGAACTTAGTGCTCCCAACAACCACCGGCATAGGTGTGACATGAACGTTAAACATTTTTTCATTTTCGTTTTTTCCATGTTCATCTTAAGACCTATCCGTTGGGAGACACTATTGAGGTCATTGAGCATAGTGCTTAGGTCCTCCAGCGATTCTGCTATAAGGACTATATCGTCGGCAAATCGAAGGTGAGTGATGTACTCGCCATTGATGTTAATACCGCATCCATCCCAGTCCAGCAGCATGAAAATGTCTTCCAATGCAGCGGGAAGAGTTTCGGGGATATAACGTCACCCTGTCTTACACCTCTCTGCAGTTGGATAGGTTTCGTACTCTGATTCTGTACTCTGATAGCCATCGTAGCTCTACTGTACAAACACTTCAGCACTTCGATATACCGACAGTCAACTTGGCACCGCTGAAGGGACTGTACCACCGCCCAAATTTAGACGGAATCAAAGGCTTTCTCATAGTCCACATACGCAAGGCAAAGTGGCAGATTATACTCCTTTGTCTTCTGTACAATTTTCCGAAGGGTATGTATGTGGTCTATGGTACTAAAGCCTTTTCGGAATCCGGCTTGTTCGGTAGGCTGGAAGTCGTCAAGACTGCGTGCGAGACGATTCGTAATGACTCTCGAAAACAGCACGTAGACGCGGCTCAGAAGGGAAGTCGATCTGTAGTTCTTTAAAAGAGCATTGTCGCCTTTCTTGAAGAACAAGTCCACCGCACTTCTGCTCCACGCACGACGGAATTAAAGAGCTTCTGAAGGACTTCAAGTACCGGTTTTCCACCCGCTTTCAAAAGCTCCGCAGTAATTCCATCCTCACCTAGGGCTCTGCCATTTTTAAGGTGCTGGAGAGCCATTCTAGTCTCGCTCAGACTGACGTCCGGGATATCTTCGGAATAGTGTCGGATAAGACTCACTCTTGGATCGTTATTCACACTTGCGTGTAGCTCCAACGATAACGTGTACAGCTACAGCCCATAGAACCTCTCAATCTCACTCAAAATATCAGGTGTACCGGAAACGATGTTGCCACACTCGGTCTTCAGCTTTGACAGTTGTCTCTCTCTGGCAAAGACTTTAGAGCCTTGGTTCCGCTCGATTGCTTCTTCAATACAAGCTGTATTGAAGTTGCGAAGTCCCGTCGCATGCATTTGGTGATCTGTCTGTTCAGTTGCCTGTATGCTGTCAAATCTGTTGAAGAATGTAGCTTCATCTCCCGTCTAACAGCCATGAGATTAAGAGTGTGATCGGAGAGTTTTTGTGTTCTTCTGCGGCGGGTCTTGCAAAACTTAGCTCCGACCGCATGGACAGTTTCCACGAGCTTGTCATTCATATATATATGAATAATAAACATAAATATATAATAAATTTTATTTAATAAAATTTATTTATAGAATATTGATAAATTTGGCTCATAACTTGTTGTTTTAAGTTTCAAACACCACTCTGAATTTTCATTTGTTAGTTGGCTTGTTACTTTACTTATAATTATATTCATGCAAGAGAACACTTGCTCACATGAATATGCTGATGCGAAGATAGTCAGTACTCAAAATGCCAACTTCTTCACCTCACTGTAGCAAATCCGGAAGATTATTCCATGCGTTGAATATAAGTGCTCAACTCAAGCCATTTTAAAGTGGTTCATTTTTGTTGCGTTACGTACATTCATTTCTGGACCTCAAACCCTTTCAAATTGATTTTCAACTCTGTAGATTTTTAACTCCACAAAGCTTTACTTTTTAAATAGATTAATTGAATTTCTAGAGATCCAGTATCAACTCCAAATGGCTCAGTGTGGATCGATTTTTAAATTGTTTTTTTTTTTATAAAATAAATAATATTTGCGTATGAAACTAAGGAGCCGCAGCTTCACATCCAAAGAGCCGCATGTGGCTCGCAAGCCGCAGGTTGCCGACCCCTGCTCTAAGGTGACAACGCATCAGTAGCTTTCTACTTTTTTCTGGTTGTTTGTTTGACGTTGGCTGCAGGTGTCCATGGACTGCAGTAGCAATTTACCATTAAGTGAAGTGTAAGTTCGGTTTCACTTCGGTGTATTTTTTTAAAAAAAAAGACTATATAAGACTTACCGATTTTATAGTTTTATGATAATTGCGGGATTGGGAAGGAAGCATTTTGGCTTAAGTGGCTCAGGACGACAGCAACCCCTGCTATGCCACTGGATTTTTCAGAAGCCATATAATATTCGAGGGATAATTATTCAAAAGTTATTATCTCTTAAAAAAGGACGAATGCACATACATTGATAAAAATATCTTATCCTGGATAAGTATCGATACAAACATTTATGCATAAACTTGATCGTAGATTTTAAATAAGGATAACTAACGATTTAATCTGTTCTTTGCGGTAAACAGTCAAACAGATAAGATTTGAAAATGCGCCTGTACAGAACATCGGCAAATAAAATCAATAGGCAAAGCAACCACAAATCGAATTTCCGGTAAATTTTTCTTTGCGGCGGCGTATCAACCCACCGACAGTGGGTTGCTAAGTGCCATAAGGCTAACTCTCTACCTTATTTCTACTTATACATACCTCTATCAAGTCTGGAGGTGCGTCGCCCAGCAACAGCCGGTTACCGAGCATGTTGGCGAGCGTGTCTGCTTGGCGCGTACTCCACACTAGTTCGCTCTCGCGCCACGCGCCGAACGCTCCACGCGACACTTCCAACAGCTTGCTCACCATCTCCGTTAGATTCACCGCGAACTGCGTTCGGGACTCCTGGGCACGATTATCTTAAGTTTACAATATTATTTCGCAATAAAACTACGTTGCAGCACAAATATGTTGGCGCAACCGAGAACGCACCCAATTCTTTTCACAGAATACCGGCGTAAAGTTGTAAGAGGACCCATCATCATGGTGTCGTAATAGGCGAATATGAAAATGCCTTAAAAAATCTTAGGAACCCGATAGATGGCGGCATATCCATATTGTTTACGCCTGACGTAATACCCAGACAGGCAATTGTCAATCGCCTCCCTACAGTGGTGGAGGCGCAATTCAACTGTAGACTTTTATGAGCTACTTAGAACTCGCGAGAACTCTAACTGGATTTGATGCAAGTTTAAGATAATACGAGAGCGAAAATGAACGTTTTTAGAACTGGCCGCTTGGAAACGATATAATAAAAAAATAAGTTCAATTTTTGAAAATGGAAATCTTTGCCAATATTATATTGTATGTGTTTTATTTATTTGTCATTTGTTTACGATTTGGCAGCAAATTGAAAATTGTCTGTGACAGGTCAGCATAAATTTAACGCGAGAAAATTTTCGTACAATGATTTTTATGACTTTCGATGTCATTTAAGTCAACAAGAAAATAATGATAGACTTCGATTGGCCTTTCACGATGAAGCCTCATCTCGTGCCACTGTTTACAACGGTCACGGCCACTGTTTAGCGGTCAGGATGCTTTGTGCCTGGTGGATACCTCATAATTTGACAGAGGCCAAAAAACTCCGTCGTGTTGATTAGTGTCGTGAAATGGCTCAAAGATATAACGGAGGTGACTTAAATGCCATGTTCGACATACTTACCGGTGACGAAAACTGGATTTATTGTTATGATCCTGAAACTAAGATACAGTCTGCTGTCTGGGTGTTTCCTTCCGTTCCGTTTTGTTTTAAAGGATCGACAAACAGTTACTTCAGAGTGGTACACTAACAATTGTTTGTCACTTGTCTTGGAGAATGTTCGGGAGAAACGACCTCGCAGTAGGATCCGCCTTCACCACGACAACGCCTCGTCGCACACCGCCAAGCAAACAATCGACTACTTGGCTACGTCAGACGTGGAATTACTGGGTCATCCGCCCTATAACCCCGTCCTCGCAACTTGCGAATTTTATTTATTTCCGAAAATAAAAGAAAAAACTTCGAGGAAAACGTTTTATGGACGCCGAGGAAGCATTGGCTGGCGTTTCTACATGCCGTCGAAGAGCCCCCTAATGACGAGTAGACAAAGTGCTTTTCTCAGTGGTTCCATCGGATGCAGCGATGTATTGATGTAAATGGACACTATTTTGAAAAGATATAATAAAACTAATAACTTGCTAGTTTGTTCAGTTTTTGATTTTCTAAGAACTTTCAGTGTCACTCTCGTAGGAGGCAAACTTGGCATCGATTATCTTTTTTTGATTGTTTTGTTACTCTACAAAGAGCAGAATAAACTCCAATAATTCGAAAGGTAGGGCCTGCTGAACATAGTGGACTTTGATAAGCATTAATGATCACGATAATAGTGACTAATCGTTTCCAAAGACAAATTATTACCTTTACCGGTACAGCCTATCAAAAGTCCACTGCTGAATGTATGATCCCCCCCCCCCCAAGATTACCTCATAGGGGGGATATTTGTTACAGTTTACAGTTGCCAGGCTTGGCCGGAGGGTTTGCAATCGCAATTTATTTTTTATTTTTAGTCGTTATTAAGAAGACGTTGCTGGTCATCTCCTATAGTTTGTTTCCCTCTGTCGCCCCTTACGACACCCACGGGACGATATGCGTAGTAGATATTCGTACACCCACTACGCGGTCAAACACAAGTTATTACACACCAGTGATATTTTTGCTCTGGAACTAGCTACCCTTTGTTGATACATAGGATTAACGGGGAAGCAATTAAATAGAGCTAAGCATAGTTAAACATTTTCTGCCGACTTCCAAATAGTAGACGGTAGGTACTCAATTCGACTGTATATTTTTTGTTATGTGTGTTACCTCATAACTTTATACTGGGTGAACCGATTTCGATGATTCTTCTTTTATATGAAAGCTGATACTTCTCGTGTGGTCCCATATGAATTTGATCAAGGTCAGACCAATAGTTTTTGAGTTATTCTTAAATAACTTATATTGAAGTCGGCTGTACAAAATTTTTAATTTTAAATTATTCAAAGTGTTATTATTTATTTACTACTACCTAGCTCTATCCGGCCACCACTGACCTCTACCACACGTTGCTCTGGCTTAAAATAAGGCAACTATTTGAATGTAACAGTGTGTCAAAGCAATCGGTGAAGGAATTTTGGAGATTTAAGACTTTGAACAAACGCCTAGATACGCTCTTGACGGTGATGATGAAAAAATCTAATTTTTACATTATAATTTATATAGAATATTAACCACATATTACCTCGCATTGCTCGAACAGCTGCATTTCTATTGTCATAAGGCTCTTCCAAAGTTCAAACAACGCGTCATTGAAGGTCTCTCCGAGGTCCACGATACTTGGCTCCAGTTGCTCTAGAGTTGCTTGTTTTGTTACGAACTTCACAATTATCTCGTTCATCTGCTCCACAAGACGCGCTTTTTTATCTTCAAACTGTTTTACTACCCTTCAATTGTAATTTGTTAAATTTGTTTTAACTGATTCAGTATATTTATTGTTTAGTTACAACTATAAATTAAAATGCATTTTATATATTCTTAGATCATTAATGATTTTACGTCGTAGTACAGCTATGCTGCAGTTATATTAGTAGTGTAGTTGTAGCACGAATGGAACCGCGCTCTTCCAGAATACCAGCGTAAAATAGCAGCTTAATGCTGCTGTGTTTCGTATGGTGAGTGTAGAGGACCGGAGACGCTTTTTACTGGAAAAGAGGCATTGAATCTTAGTCCTCACGGGTGACAACGCATCTGCAGTTTGATTCTTCATTGAGGATAGATGTAGATGTCTATGCAACCATCAGGTGGACTGTGTGGTCGTTTGAAACCCTGTTTTGATTTAGCGTAGTGTGTTCTGTGGATTGAGTACCAAGGCGAATGAAACATACATTTTCAAAGGTTGTATTGTGATCTTTCCCGTGTTTGTATCGCTGCAGCTTATAAGCAATCCCAGGCATCGGCAATTTTATTTTGCGAGGCGGATGGATTTTTTTTAAATTAAAAATTCTATCACCTGGTAAACTGTAGTTCACATCTCAGACCGGAACCTAGCAGTGCGTGTACTTATTTTGGCGTCAGTAATAAGCGGTAGATCTAAGACCTGGCTTTTTTATCGTGGGGCTAGGCATTCGGAGGCCCCGCCCGCAACCCCAGAAGCTATCTTTATCCCTCTATTTTATTAAAATATGTATAGATTTAACGTATTATTTATAACATATATAATATGTGAATATACGAAAATGTCCTTCTCTCAAAATTGGAAATCTCTACTATTAGTTTAATTTGCCTTTACACTGTTATTAGTGTCCGACCGAAGATTCGGCTTCGTTTTCGGCCACCTTTGTGAAACTTCGACCAAAATGGGCCGAAGACGAAGGTTTCTAACAAGCGCCAAAATTGACGAAATGTTACGAATGAGCGAGAGCGCGAAGGACGTGGCGACGCAATTTTTATCATTTAGATCAACTTTTAGAGTTGATTAAAATTACCTTTTTATAACAAAATTTTTAAAATCACATAATATTAGTTTTAGCCAATCTAAAACAGAATTTATTACGGTTATTAAGCCTTCGTCTTCGGCTTCAGATTCGGCCGAATGTTGTAGCGGTAGCCGTTTAATCGGCTTCGGCTTCAGCCCAAAATAAACCTTCGGCCGGACACTACTTGTTATTATGTAATACGTAATAACTTACTCTTTACTTTTATTAACGCTGTCAGCCAATGCATTATCCACAAGGTCTTTAAATAGTTTAATTTCGTACTGCCTCTCATTGTAAGCCTGTTGAGCGTACTCTACTAGTCCAGCCATCGTCTCCACATATTGCTCTTTGTATCTAAAAGACAATATATTTAAACAGCCATCCTGTATTGAAATTACATACCTAGATAATATATTATAATTATTGAAGCCACCTTGTATTGGCATGTACTTGTAATACAATTACGTAGCTATTCAGAGAAAATACAAAAGCAAACGAGTATGCATCCTGCCAAGTCTCAAACCGTAGCCAAAGGTTTAAAAAAGGCTCTAAGGGTGGAGTAAAGGTAAAATTAAATACCATGTCATAAGAGAAGTAGTATTGGATTAGGTACTGATTTCATCTCTGGGCGGGCACATGCCCAGAGATGAAATCAGTACCTAATCCATGTGAGGCTGAGCTTGCACCTTGTAAAGTTGCAAGCTGTGTGCCGGCATCAAATATTGCCACGCTCTTCTAAGCACGCAAAAATATTTAGAGGTCAATTTGGTCCCTTCCCAAGTTCGAACCGCGGAACTGAAATTTGACGCTGTAGGCTGCTGACTGAGCCAACAAGGGGAGTGGCCTGAAATTGAGGAGATACGAGAAACGGTACATTTAAAACGTAGTTAATAAAAACAAAACCAAAATATTTACTGATCATAGAAGTTCAACAGTTCTCCGCCCAATTTAAGAAGTAGCGATCCGTCCGGGTCTTTCTCAAACATGGACTCTAGAAGCTCCGGCCCGCTCAAGTACTCTACGAATGAGAGCGCGTAAAACTCAACCTTAGAATCGTAATCTTCTTTAGCAAGCCTTTCATTTTCTGCCTTTTCGTCTGCCTCGTCCAATTTCCGCAAGAGACCTCTTCAAATATAAAAGCATAATTTACATATGTGAGAGATATAATAAATGAGATGAGATAATAAATATACATTATTGATATTTTTAGGTTTTCAATGAAAATGCATTTCAAAGCAAGTTAACTAAAACTTAAGTAGTTTTTTCAAATAAGCTTCTTCTATTATATTTGAATTCAAATTGGTAGCTAAACAATATATATATATTCCTAACTATAAGTATATTCCTAAGTAGCTTCAATAAATTCATTACGCTCCTCACTCTTTAAATGGATATCAGATTTATTGTAGGTCAAACAATTTCAAAGTGAATGCTTTTTGTCGGTTAACCGTATAGTGGCGATATAAGATTATTACACTTATAGTCCCGTGGGTGTCGTAAGAGGCGAAAGAGGGAAACTGAAACAGGACATGGGCAGTAGCATATTTGTAATAACAACCTCTCTTCTTCTTTCTCTTCCCTCTATTCTTAATAAACAACCTCCACATCGAAGGCGTACACGATCTGCACAATGGCAGGCGGTACGATTCCACACAGAGTCTATCCCGCCCCCGAAACCGCAGCCCTCCCTCTTCGTCTGTTGGTGACCTTAGTCTGGACCCTTTAAGTGCCTGGGAAGATCCCTGGTCCCTATCCCGATCGGACCCCAAGCCCATGTCTTGAGCGCACCCTAGACCCGCACCTGGTTTCAGGCCGCACCCGGCGCCAAGACAATACAACAGGTGACGTAACTTTTATTTGCTTGGTTTATCTGTTCTTTGGTTTAGGATATCGTTTTATCTTAACTAGTGAAGGAAAATTATAAAAAAATTGCGATTGCCAATCCGCCTGCCAAGCATGGCAACTATGGCAACCCTATGAGGCAATCTATGTTCAGCAGTGGATTTTTATAGGCTATAATGGATGGGTGAATGGAATGGATAATCGTCCGTGTCTCTGCTAGTGATCGCGTAACATTTAAACGATTTTTTTGATTGAGGTCATATTCGCGCGATGGTTCATAGCGATGCTAGGGTCCGATAGACGGTGCTGTATTTAGGTATATTTATGGACAATATGAATAGGTTAAGTGTTACATAAAAGAGAGCAAAAAAAAGTCATAGAAAATCAACTTCTTTAATGAGACGGTAATTATACCAAAAAATGACTCATATTCATATTATTTGCTGGTTGAGCGTCAAAAGGTGTGCGGTCTAGTTATTATTAAACTAGCTGATACCCGCGACTTCGTCCGCTTTGCTTGATATATCAAGAAATATCACTAAATACGTAGTGCTTTTAAAAATCGTCGTTTCTTAAAACTTTAATAATACTATACTATATGAACATATCACAATATTTTTTAGATAAAGGCCACGTGCCTAAGCAATAAAACTTAGAAAACCTAATTAAAATCTATCCAGTAGTTTTTCCGTGGTGCGCGCACAACTGCAAACCTCTATCATTTTATTTATATAGATATTATACATATACAATCCGTAAAAAATGCGGAGTGATTTCGAAGTGAAACTCATCGCATCACCTACCGGAGAGGGCAGAATGTCTGCCGGCTCAGTTAGTTTATTATAAAATCTAAAAAATGACAAAACATTGATTACACTTAAATTATTTGCGTACAAATGCAATTCACTTACCTAAAAAGAGCTCTCCCATTTTCTCTCTCTTCGTCCGTGATAATTTTATAATCCAAGTAGGTCACCCTTACTAACGCCGACTTCATAAACTGATAAGCCATGGGATCGTCGCAGCATGGATTACCTTTAAAGCTCACTGAGCGAAGGAATCGGAATCTCCTTAAATAAGCCATCTGAACATACCAAGAAGACAGTTCTTTATTTATACTACGCAAGCCTAAGAAGTGGCTAATTATGTGTGGCTAAATTTCAATCATTTGACCCTATTCCGACAATGTTGGCTCCGGTTAGTAACCCAATATCTGCGGCGCAGTACCTGGCTACTCTGATAACTAGGCCACGCACAGAACGTATTATTTTCTTAGACCTCTCCATGTACGCTTTCTAAGGCCGCTCACATACATACGGAGTTTCGTTTCGGGATTCCGTGAATATATCACACAGATACGTTTATTTCCGTTCGGAATAAAAAGGGTCAGTTGAGAGACGTTAGCCATTAAGTCCAGATATTCTGCCAGCGAATAATGACGACGATTTTCTGATTGCGATTCCATTGTTGCTGTATCATTGTTTAGATGCACCCACATCTCCTTATCACCCTAAGCATGCAATATAGTCAATATTATTTAAAAATATTTTTTTTATAGAAGAGGACGAGAACGAGCATGTGGTTCACCTGATGGCAAGTGACTACCGCCGCCCATGAACAACCGCAACACCAGGGGAATTGCAGATGCGTTTCCGGCCTTTTAGAAAGGTGTAAACTCTTTTCTTGAAGATTCCAAAGTCGTATCGGTCCGGAAAAATCGCTGGTGGTAATCGATTCCACAAGGAAGTTGTGGGAGGGAGAAAACTTCTTCTAAATCGCACAGTGGTTGACCGCCAATCATCCAGATGGTATGGATGGTATCGCGAGTTTTGTCGCGATGTGCGATGATGAAATTGCGCGGCTGGAATTAGTCCGAACAATTCCTCAGAGCACTTCCTCATGATAGATGCGATAAAATACACAAAGAGATTTATTATAGACTACGCAGTGCCAGTGTATCGAACCGATCAGAAAGAACTTGGTCGTCGACGATTCGAACCGTTCTGCGCTGGATGCGATCAAGTGGAAGGAGCTGGCACTGGGGTGCCCCGGCCCAGAGGTGAGAACAGTATTCCATGTGAGGCTGAACTTGCGCTTTGTAAACTTGCAAGCGATGTGCCGGCATGAAATACTGTCTCGCTCTGCTGAGCACGCCAAGCTTTTTAGAGGCCAATTTGGCCTTCCCTTCCAAGTGATCACGAAACTGCACACTGTTCGATATAATGACGCCGAGGATTCCGATGCTAGCTGAGGCAGCAAGGGGAGTGCCTTAAAAATGAGGAGATACGACAAAGGGGTTCCTTTTAGCGGTAATCGCGCAAACTTGTGTCTTCTGGGTATTAAACTGGACTAGATTTAGTCGCCCCCAATCCGAGACTTTGTTCAGCAAAGACTCGACTTCAGACACAAGTTTGTCCCGATACTCGGCGACGTTTTCCCGAGAAATATTGGCACGGCCGGTATATAAGACTTCACCAGTGCTGTCGTCTGCATAGCAATAAATGTTACCAGTTTGCAACATATCATTGATATGCAGGAGAAACAGCGTTAGTGATAGCACGCAGCCTTGTGGAACACCAGCGTTGATAGGCTTGAAATCAGAGCATGCACTGTCTACTACAACCTTGATGCTCCGATCAGCAAGGAAACTGGTGATCCATTTGCACAATTTCTGGGGAAGCCCATAGAAAAGAAGCTTCGAAAGAAGCGCTTAGTGCCAGACCTGATTGAAGGCCTTCGCTATATCCAAACTAATAGAGGCACCCATAGACGCGGGGATGGTCGTCGCTGTCTACGCGCAGCCATAGGATGGACAGGTCCGTACCTTCAAGACTGCCGAAGCGTCGAAAACAGATGTCCTCTCTGACGTATACGCAAACTCCAGCCCGGGGCACAAAGGAGTGTAATTTGTACCCCGGGTAGAAGAGATATGAAGTATCAGCCGGAGAGGACACCTGAGTCTCGGTTAAAAAGAGCAAGGCTGGCTTCACCGTCTCTTGGTCGTGGATGCTCAGCGAAGGATTCTCCAGGGGTGCTGGTACCCTCCTATAGTTTTTTATTTAATTCCGCTACCATGTTGATTGGGAGGGGCGAATTGAGCCTCCGGCCACCTGCACTCACCAAGCGCAACGCAGAGGTATTCCGTGAGGTCGTGGTACCACCCCGGTTCGAGCCGCCCCCTGCGTGCGACAGCAAAAGCTGCCGCGTGGCTCTACCACTGTTAAATATAATTTTTTTATACGGATGTCTTTAAACCGTTTCGATGAATTATTAAACAAAATAAGATGAAAGATTACGAAAAGCTATACACATATCAGATTAAAAATGTAAAAACGTACATAAACACCCCTACTCGCTTCGTCGTGCGACTTAGCTTATCTATGCGACGAACACTGAGCGCGTTCCGTACTGAATTTACGAATGTGTGTTGCGACTCAAACTCAAAATCTATGCAAGACTTGCGTTCGGAGCGGCTTTTTCCGTTCGGGATTCCGAATGCACAGGTTGTCATACGGAATTTCGAATCGGAGAAAATTCCGGCCTTAGGACCGCCACATACATACGGAATTTGTGTGTGTGGTGTATTCACGGAATCCCGATTCGAGATTCCGAAACGGAATCACGAAACGGCACGCCTCTGGCACCCCTCTATGAGTATGAACGGAATTCCGTTTCGATATTCCGATTCGGAATTCAAACGCAACAAGTCCATATAAAATCTATGACCCGTCACACATGTACGGTAGTTTTCGGTTCCAAATTTTGCGGGCTAAACGGGATTACGTATGAGTGTGGCCGACCCGTTCGGAATTCCGAAAAATAATCCCGAAACGGAATTCCGTATGTATGTGGTGGTCCTTACGAGAGCTCTACGTGGCTACGTATGTGAGGTATGTATGTACCCACCTTGCTATTTGCTGACACGCTCCCACTCAAAAAAAAATCAAAGCTGATATAGTATATTGCAAAAATTGTTTTTTTGTTTCTATAGTAAGATCATTTTATTTATAATATAAGATATATTAATAACCTTTTCGAACGTAATTTTAGGTCGACATGTTTATTAGGTTTCTACTTTTTATCATTGCTATGTGATTATTGGACTAATTTGATTATATTTGTACGGAACCATAGATTCTGATTGGCATCCAAAATCCATTCCAGCATTCAAATGACTCAACTACATTTTTTATTTCATTGACAATCTTGCCTTCTATTATGTAACTTGCCTCGATATTAGAATTTCTTATTAGAGATTTTTTAAAAAGGGAACAAGAAAAGAAGACGAGATTTATTCAAAGGCGAGTGTCAATATTTTAATTCATCTAGGTATATACACTCACAGAAAAAATATAGAGCTATGCTGCAGCTATATTAGTAGTATAGTAGCAGCACGAACTCGACCGGGGAAGGACCACGCTCTCACAGAATACCAGTTTAACACTGCTGTGTTTCGTGTGGTGAGTGTAGAGAACCGGAGACCCTTTTTGCTGGAAAAGAGGCATTCCATCTTAGTCCTCACGGATGACAACGCATCTGCATTTTGATTCGCAAATGAGGATAGATGTAGATGTCTATAGGCCACAGCAACAAATTAGGCCTACCATCAGGTGAACTGTGTGCTCGTTTTTCACCTTATCCTATAAAAATAAAAGTTTTTGACACGAAAAACTGGCTTCTAACAAAACACTAACTTTGGGTCTACTATCCCAGATTTTATAACATTGTTTCCCAAGTTATATGTACGGTTGCCTGAAAAGCTGAGGGAAAAGAGTAGATTAGATATATTTATGTAAATCACTTGTAGGAGTGGATATATTTATGTACTAAATGTGCAAGTTGCACATTTGCCACATTGAACTAAAAGTAACCAATCTGAAAACGAGCTAAAAGTATCATGATCAGAAAATTAACTCTGCCTGTGCTTTTTGGTGCAGCCGGTCCCAAGCTCGGATAAAAGAGAAGGGGTGGTTCCGCCGGCGAGAGTAGATGTATCCGGTGGACTAACACATCCACCTGCGCTAGGGATGACGTAGTCCTGGACGGTTAAGCCGATTGTCACTGGGGTATATAGTGGCGAGAGGCTACACACCGTCTTTGGTCTCCAGATTTCAAGCTAGCCACAGATAGGGAAATGGCCAAGCGCCCTGTCCGAGGGTCGCAGGCGAGGGACGTGGGGGCTCCCTAGTTTTCCTGAAAAGGGCTAGGTGGTAGTAAAAAAGCCATGCTGACGGAGCAAGTGACAGTCTATTCAGGCAGTGGGGATGGGCCTTTTCAGCCTTGTCTGCCAGCTGGATCGAGCTCCCGATGTCGCGCTGTGAGCCATTTTCGCGTCCCTATATTTCCCCGGTAATCCTAACGCTTGAAACTCTTTTTGTTTTAAAGTAGGGCGTTTCCAAAGGTGCGGGATTCATGCAGTGTGGGAAGCCAGCGGGGACGAATTCTAAACACATAAATAATGTGAAAAATTTAAGGCTGATTAGGAAAGAGGGACAGGTGTCGGAGGTGCTTACCAAAGACATGAATGAACAAGGAGAAACAGCCATTAAGTTAACGGTTCCACAGACTGTACCATCCATCGTTGGCCCCACCAAGGGGGCAACTTCCATGCTGAATGTTCCCAAAACTAGTTCCAAACCTGAAGAGCTGGACGCGAGAAAGGAGCAAGGGACCGCGAGTTACAAAATTCCTGCGGAACCCCAGAGAACGGACGACCTTTTCTCTGCTGCCCGGCAAGTGGTGAACTGTAAGGGGATGGGCAAGGCACCCAAAAACGTGACTTGCTGACCTGATGGATCATCAGGTGGGTCTATCCCAACAGACAGTAGTGTAAAGGAAAAGAAAAAGAATGAGAAGCAGCAAGAAAAAGGCCGTAGAGAAAGAGCCACGCTGGCTGAGGTGTTTGAGGCTGGAACCAGTAACCGCGCTGAAACTGGGAAGGATAAAAATCCAGCACAAATGGAAGGCACGACCGCGGGGACCAGCTCTAAGATATCCGCCAGGAAGTAGCGAGCGGCCAAGCGTCCTGGTAAGAAGGAACGAGCAAAAAGATGATGGGAGAGTCCACCTCGTCGAGAGGCGAGCACAAAAAAGTGCAACTCGAACAGCAACCAAAGGCTGCAACAACCAGCTACGCTTCCGCTGCTAAAACCTAATGCGTGTCTTTATACTACTAAAGATATCTGTGCACAACCATAAACAGATTTCTGTTCCAGAGACATGTATGCCGTAGCAATACAAAATACACAGGAGGGAAGATTAGTCGTCGACTCGGTCTACATGCATGCAGGAAGACACTCCTCCCCCTTATAAACTCGTCAGGCTGGTGAATTTCTGCGAGAGGACCGGACTAGAGGTTGTGATCGGGACGGACTCCAACGCGCATCATCCCCTTTTTGGAATGGAAAAACCCAATGAACGAGGTAAGTTGTTAGTTGAATATCTATTTAGCACTAACTTAACCATTTTAAACACAGGTTCCGAATGAACTTTCATAAACAAACGTTGTCGCACAATAATCGACCTCACATTTTCAACAGAAGGAGCAGCTCAGCTAACTAATTACGGGACGGCATGTATCAGCCAGCCGGAGGTATTAAGCCCAAAAGAGCTAAGTGTTTTCACCGATGGTTCTAAAACAAATGAAGTTGTAGGATCTGGAACTTTCTCTGAAGACCACAATATCCACATATGCACACTGCTACAACACAGTTTTGCAGGCGGAATGTATGGGTATCATTCAAGCGGCTATAACAATAGGAAGGTTAAAGACTTCTCCATCAGAATACTGATCAATAGTATGGCGGTACTAAAAGCTCTGAGTTGCAATGTGGTGAACTCTAGACTAATATATGAATGCCATCAACGATTAAATGAGGTATGTAAACACAACAATGTGACTCTACAATGGATAAAGGGACACAGTGGATCCAGAGGCAACGATAGAGCAAACGAACTGGCCAGGAGAGGATCGACTCCGGCCACTATAGGGCCGGAACCAATCATACCAATCCTCTTTAGTAACGTTTGTTCACTGGTACGTAGAAACGTCACTAATCAACACGCTCTGCTTTGGAAAAATCTAATAGACTGTAGACAAGCTAGGGAGGCCCTGCCTGAAATAAACAGTCGTTTAACCAAGGTTCTAATGAGACTGAACAAGCCACAGATCAGGATAGTAACAAGTGCTATCACAGGACATGGCTTCTTTAACAAACATTTATTTGCCATAGATGTTACAGATAGTCCCTGTGCAGGGCATGTATGGGGGAGGAAGAAACGGCGATCCACGTGTTGCTGACATGTCCGGAGGTCGCTGCATACAGGGCTAAACATCTCGGCACGTCGGGTTCACTTCCCGAAGTTGCTTGCAACATCAAAGGACTGTTGAACTTCTTCGGGGAGATTTCATGGCTCAAATAATCACATTATTCTTACCACACCCAAAATACGCGCTTAGACGTGGAGTTGCGGAAAACAGCCCGTCGTAAACTAACCGATCTGATTTTCAGTACCATTAAAATTATTAAGAAGAAAAATATGATTTTATGTTTTATTTATTATTTCGGTTTTCGGCTAAAGGGATACTTGTGGTATTTCTCAAAATAGTATACAGAAAATCTAATTTGAGGCCACTCTTAAATATATTATTTTATGTTTAATACCTAATACTAAACTTGAAATTAGTTTTTAGCGCGATAAGTCCACTTATTCATATGAACAATAAAATTGTAATTTATTTTTCCTTTTATGAGTAATCTCTATACTTATATAAGAGTCTATTGCTGTCCGTTAGTCTCGCAAAAAATCGAAAATGGCTCGACCGATTTTGTATGTTTGAGTGGGTCCCTGGATGATCTAAACGATTCACAATTGGACCCGGTAGGTAGAGCTGTCATCACCCGTGCGCAGCCGGGGCGGATCGCTAGTTTATCATATATATTATATCATACATTATAGAGCCACGCGGCAGCTTTTGCTGTCGCACGGATGGGCCGGCTCGAACCGGGGTGGTACCACGATCTCACAGAATACCAGCGTGAAGTAGAGGTTTACCTCTGCGTTTCGCTTGGTGAGTGCAGGTGGCCGGAGGCCCTTTTTACTGGAAATGAGGCATTCCATCTTAGTCCTCACGGGTGGCAACGCATTTGCATTTTGATTCGCAAACGAGGATAGATGTAGATGTATATGGGCCGCAGCAACCACTTACCATCAGGTGGACTGTGTGCTCGTTTGTCACCCTTATCCTATTAAAAAAAATGTCTTACATAAAGTATAATAAAATAATAAAAATAGAAAACTATTAGGTAAACACTTAAGTAGTTTGTTTGACAAAAAGAATTAACGAATGGTGAGAAATTGGATAATCCACAGCTGTTTCTACGCATTTTATTTAAAACAAGAAAGTACATACTAGAAACAATTGAGACAGTTTTGTATAGTAATCTCAATAAGTTGATTAATTTCTAGATGGTAGGACTCGTTTTCTGCCTAGGAGTCCGTCTCGGTAGGTACCACTTTTTTTTCTCTTTCTCCCGACATGCATTACTTACACTGCTATATTCTGAAGGGTGTAGTGGGCCGGTATAGTAACAGATTGTGAGGCATTTCATGTTAGTCCTCAGAGGTGACAACACACCCGTAGTTTTCTTTATTTCAAGTTGGCTGTAGATGCCCCTGCGCTGCAGTAACCACATATCATCAGGTAGACTGTAAGTTTATTTGTTATTTTCAATTTTATAAAAAAAAACTTGAACGAAGTGTTTGCGAGATAATGCAAAATTAGTTCACAGACGGACCGCCAACCGACCAGTAAATGATAATATCAAGATGCATTAATTAAATATTATTTATAAACAAATATTGCTCGTTTTATACATTACGTGCCTCTTTATAATCTTCAATTAAATTATCTCCAATGCTAAAAACTAGTAACTTATTTAACTCCTCCATATTCTCTAGTTTTCTTATTTTATTGTGGAAGAGGGTTAGTACTTCCAAATTCACCAGAGCATTTAAATTTTCAATTTTTTCTATTTTATTGAACGATAAATCCAATTCGTTGAGACCCGTCAGTTGTTCCAAGTTTTCGATTTTTTCAATCAAATTGTGGGCTAACGTAAGTTTCCTAAGTGACTTAAGCATCCAAAGATGATCAATTCTTAAAATATTTTGAAATTCAAGACGCACTGTTTGCGCTTCGTCTAAATGAACACCTTCCTCTGCGAATAATCTTCCCGCTTCTTCTTTTGGTCCTATAAAACATTTTATATTTTTTTATTATCTACAACTATGAACAACTTTTTTTTTTATATAACTGGGAAAAGTAAATAGCAGAACATAATTTTAGCCTTAGATTGAATATCATGTTTTGATGACCAATTTTGATTACGGTAAAGTTCCAGCCTATTTACGTCCCACTGCTGGGCACAGGCCTCCTCTCCTTTCTGAGAGGGTTTTAGTTTTAGGGCAAGGAAATGTCCGCCGCGTGTTGGCGAACTGCTCCAATGCGTGTTGGCGAACTTCACATGTCTTCGAAATATTTTTTTTCTTATTTCTCAGACATGCAGGTTTCCTCACGATGTTTTCCTTCACCGCTAAGCACGTGGTAAATCAGCACTTAAAATTGCAATTAACAATTTCATTGGTGCCGGCGGGGATTGAACCCGGGTTGCTCGAGTACTGTGAAGCTTACAGCGAGCGCTAACCACAGCGGGAGATTGCGCTAACTTCCCAATATTTCCAGATATTTTCGTAAACTTATCAGTTATTTTAAAAGAAAATGTACAATCACCAAGATGAACGTGATCATTTACTGTTAGCTGTTGCGAAGAAATTAAAAATCGCGCTTCAAGTAATGGTAAGGGCTACGCTCGGGATTGTTTTGTTCGATAGATAGAATCCGTACCTAACGTATATATCGGCAATAGAACACGAGCATCCGAGATCATTATGTTTTCCGCAATAGAACACGAGCATCCGAGATCATTATGTTTTCCGCAATAGAACACGAGCATCCGAGATCATTATGTTTTCCGCAATAGAACACGAGCATCCGAGATCATTATGTTTTCCGCAATAGAACACGAGCATCCGAGATCATTATGTTTTCCGCAATAGAACACGAGCATCCGAGATCATTATGTTTTCCGCAATAGAACACGAGCATCCGAGATCATTATGTTTTCGGCAATAGAACACGAGCATCCGAGATCATTATGTTTTCCGCAATAGAACACGAGCATCCGAGATAATTATGTTTTCCGCAATAGAACACGAGCATCCGAGATCATTATGTTTTCCGCAATAGAACACGAGCATCCGAGATAATTATGTTTTCCGCAATAGAACACGAGCATCCGAGATCATTATGTTTTCCGCAATAGAACACGAGCATCCGAGATCATTATGTTTTCCGCAATAGAACACGAGCATCCGAGATCATTATGTTTTCCGCAATAGAACACGAGCATCCGAGATCATTATGTTTTCCGCAATAGAACACGAGCATCCGAGATCATTATGTTTTCCGCAATAGAACTCGAGCATCCGAGATCATTATGTTTTCCGCAATAGAACACGAGCATCCGAGATCATTATGTTTTCCGCAATAGAACACGAGCATCCGAGATCATTATATTTTCCGCAATAGAACACGAGCATCCGAGATCATTATGTTTTCCGCAATAGAACACGAGCATCCGAGATCATTATGTTTTCCGCAATAGAACACGAGCATCCGAGATCATTATGTTTTCCGCAATAGAACACGAGCATCCGAGATCATTATGTTTTCCGCAATAGAACACGAGCATCCGAGATCATTATGTTTTCCGCAATAGAACACGAGCATCCGAGATCATTATGTTTTCCGCAATAGAACACGAGCATCCGAGATCATTATGTTTTCCGCAATAGAACACGAGCATCCGAGATCATTATGTTTTCCGCAATAGAACACGAGCATCCGAGATAATTATGTTTTCCGCAATAGAACACGAGCATCCGAGATCATTATGTTTTCCGCAATAGAACACGAGCATCCGAGATCATTATGTTTTCCGCAATAGAACACGAGCATCCGAGATCATTATGTTTTCCGCAATAGAACACGAGCATCCGAGATCATTATGTTTTCCGCAATAGAACACGAGCATCCGAGATCATTATGTTTTCCGCAATAGAACACGAGCATCCGAGATCATTATGTTTTCCGCAATAGAACACGAGCATCCGAGATCATTATGTTTTCCGCAATAGAACACGAGCATCCGAGATCATTATGTTTTCCGCAATAGAACACGAGCATCCGAGATCATTATGTTTTCCGCAATAGAACACGAGCATCCGAGATCATTATGTTTTCCGCAATAGAACACGAGCATCCGAGATCATTATGTTTTCCGCAATAGAACACGAGCATCCGAGATCATTATGTTTTCCGCAATAGAACACGAGCATCCGAGATCATTATGTTTTCCGCAATAGAACACGAGCATCCGAGATCATTATGTTTTCCGCAATAGAACACGAGCATCCGAGATCATTATGTTTTCCGCAATAGAACACGAGCATCCGAGATCATTATGTTTTCCGCAATAGAATTCGAGCATCCGGCATCGAGCATCCAGCGGCGTAAGATCCACTACCTCATATCATCTCGTGGGTAACGTTATTAGCAGAAGAAGGAATGATGCATATCACAATAATAATAAAAAAAAAACCGCCTTGACAAGCGAGGCAACTATAGCAAATATCTCCCTATAAGGCAACCCATGGGGAGGCCTATGTTACTTGCACTCAAAGAGATTTAAATATATCTACTACTACTTAAATGTCTTTGCTTGCACTTAACATGCGATAAACTTTTAAGTGGCCCTAATGAAATAAATGAATAAAAGAAAACCGAGATAACGGATCAGCAGATACCCTAAAGCGCTAATGGGCAGGTCGTATATCTCGAAAATCCACGACTATTGGGAATGCAATATAGTTTCTCAACTGCCAGGCTTGTACTGGTAATCACAGTCGTGGGCAACGCCTACTTAATGGAGAGAATCTGATGAGACACTGCATCCTTTAGATTATATAGTTAGATCAGAGCATTCAGGTGCTAGGTACTTTTTGACAAGATATGGGGAAGGATTATGTTCACTTCAACAGGGGCTATGGTACTTAAGGCATTGAGTTATATGTACTACGTACTAGAGAAGCCATTCCAAACAAAAATTGTGTCCTACTCTATGTCTTCGAGCATGCGCGGGAGTAGTAGTCGCGCATGCGCTAAGACTTTAATTTGATATAAAATAAGATATTTATATAAAATAAATATAAGAATTTAATATAAAATATCTTAATTTAATATAAACAAACATATTATATTTCTAAATAAAATGTAATACTAATTATTTTATGGAATTCACAAACCTTCAATTTACGCAATATTTAGTTTGTATGGATTGCACTACAGTTTAATTGAACATAGTCAATGTTCGGAATGGCTTCTCTAGTACGTAGTACATATAACTCAATGACTTAAGGTACTAACACTTACCGTATTCTAATATGCATCGTGTGAGCATAGCATTGTCTATTACACCAGGTTCAATGTCAGGGTGAATTATCATCCTGTTTAAAGATTTCGTTTCAGTCATGTTTAAAAGAATCCTAAATTATTTAAAAGAACAAATGTTACATAAGTTTGACAACAATATGAAACTTCACATAGTAACTAATAACATTAGGTTATCTATGCATAGCAACCGTAAACAGCGTCAGGTAGGGTTGTCAACCTTGATTTTCTGCTGACTTCCAAAAAGGAGACGGTACCCAATTCGACTGTTTTTTTTTTATGTGTGTTACCATCATAACTTTTTACTGGGTCAACCGATTTGGATGATTCTTTTTTTTATTTGAAAGCTGGTACTTCTCGTGTGGTCCCATATGATCAAGGTCAGACCAATAGTTTTTGAGTTATTCTTAATAACTCATATTGAAGTCGGTTGTACGAAATTTTTAATTTTTAATTATTATAGGACCATCAACGGACCCTTAGTCTAATTACATATATACGTATGCAATTATAGTATTCTATGGTATGCATAGTGAGAAATCTGTCAAAATTTTTCACTGTCAAAAGCTACGTATATTTTACTTATTTTATTTTACTACTAGCTGTTCCCCGCGACTTCGCCCGCGTATAATTTTGGATTTTAACTATGTTGCGCGGAACCCTAATTATTTTTCTAAAATATAAGTAGCCTAAGTTACTCCTTATAACATCAGCTATCTGCCAGTGAAAGTCCCATTCAAATCGGTACAGCTGTTTCGGAGATTAGCCGGAACAAACAGACAGACAGACAAAAAAGTTAAAAGTTGTGTTTTTGTTATAAGTACCGTATATACTTTCATATGTATTTAGTAAAAAGCTGTTATTTTGATATTACAAACAGACACTTCAATTTTATTTATTAGTTTAGATATAGATTTAGAGGCCAATTGTGGCTAACAAATTTCAATAAAAATATCAGTAAATATATAAGAGAGTTGTTATAATTTTTTTTTTGTTTTCAGACATAATACTCATTTATAAAGGAAAATATTTCTGCTGCGTCGTTGTCAGCTTTCAAAGCATAACAACTACATACAATTTTTATCAATATGGATTTTTTTTTCTATTATTAACATACATTTTATTATATACAATATTACAAACTATAATAATAAAAAAAAAACTAAAACTAGAAACTTAAATTATCATATAGTCCTACTCCCCGCGGTATCGTGCCAAGAACGCTGGCTGCGTTTCCCCGCTGAATGGCTATACTTAGCCTTTGAGCGAGAAAAGAACCAGCCCTCCTATCACCAGCAGCAACGACCAGCCATGGATGGAGTTCCTTTAGGAACTTCACCGCACGTGGACCCCACGGACCGATAGTCTCTACAGCAAATGGCACAAATATGTAGTCGCCTCTCAGAGACTCATATTTGCGCCACTTACTCAGTTCAGCTGCCTCTGATGCCGCCCCGGCTCTAAGCGAGGTACCCCTGAGATGAGAGGCCGCCAAAGTGTCTACGCAAGTAACATCCCACACTAGGGCTTTACCTCTCTCCCAAGGGACCAATGTCTTACCGTCGGGTCTCCTGCCATCGTCTCTAAATATTCCACAAGGCTCTAAAACCGAGGGAACATTTATAGAGACAATAGCCCTTCGGATGACATCGTTCAAAGAACTGTGTCGTGAAAACCTACCAGCGCTTTTCTTACATGTAAATCCGTGGAGCCCAAACTTGTCGACGCTGCTACCACAGGGGCGCTGATGGGGTTGACAAATGGCTCCTAGTCGGATTCCTACGGCAATGCGCAAGCTTTCCCCATCAAGTAACGTGCCGAGATTACTTGATGGTAAAGCGTGTAACCAGTGACTAGATTCCTTAGTCGAAACAGCTAGAAGGCGTGCCTTATCTTGGTCACTATGGAAATTATGAAACAAATCTTTCTACACGCCCTGTACCAATGGAATATACCACTGTTTTTGTTGGTTAACTTCCAGTGGAACATTTTCACCAGGACAGAGCGTTTGCCATGTCTGCCCAGCCTCCGTAGCACAGCATAGGTCTACTTTATTATTTAAAATTATTAGAAGCAGGGAAAGCAGGCAATGCAACGCTAGAAAGATTTCTTACACCAATGCCACCAAATTTTATAGGTATTTAAAGTTAAATTTAGAATTTTTTCTATAGCTATTTTAAGATTATTATCAATATCTTTTAAAATATCCGAACATTTCCAGACTGGACGCGAGCGGAGTATGTAAATCTAGGTACAAGAAGACAATATTTTAAAATAGTAAGAGCTATGTGGGGGTTTAATTTATACAATTTATCAACGTGGTTTAAAAACTGATCAAATTTTGTTTTTAAAACAGGTTTAATACTATCGAAAAACACCAGGGCACCTAGCAGGTCCGTGCTGACAGTTTTTATTCCTGGACAAATATGATTGAAATTTTTAATTAAAATGTCTCTATGAGAAGTAGATAAATTATTGGAAAAAAAATATTTCACATTTATTGCTATTTGGTTCAAGACCAATATTTTTAAAATTTCGAAAAATATGAGTAAGATCACTGAGGACGTCATCTGCTCTACCTCCCAGTATACCGTCGTCTAGGTACTAGACATTCAGCTTGGATTTCGAATTTGAAATGATGGGTTGAATTCCCAAACTGAATAGTGCTGGACCCAATGGGTCACCCTGCTGAACACCGACAGCAAAATCGATAACATGGTTTTCGTAAAACAAGTTAGTATTTTGACTATAACATTGCCAAACGTAATGATAAATTTCGGGGATATTGTTAGCCACTTCTTTCAGCAAGGTTACCCTATCGATAGAGTTAAAAGCATTTCTTAGGTCAACCTTCACAAGAACATCTGCATCAGAGTTTGTTAAAAATGAACGCACTGAATTTACCGCCGCCTCAGAGCCACCTCTAGTGCCAAAGCCTAGTTGAGTAGGCTGAAATTTGATCTTAAGGTTAGAGATTATGTGCCTGCAAGCTAATTTTGAAATTAAGCGTCGAAATGTGGAACCAACGGCAATAGGACGGATACCGTTATCCTTTTTTTTGAAGGCACATAATCTTGCCCCATAAGGGAAGGAATGTGCTAGTTAGTCTGTGCTGTTCACGGCTACGCTTTCCAATCTAGGGGAATTTATATGACAAATATTTAACGACATTTTCTTTTTCTTTAAATAATTTGTTTATTCTAATTCCGTGATCGTATATGTGTGTAAATAAGTGTGTTGGTGCTGTAAATACAATGTTTCTTTATTATGCTCTAGTTCTGTAATTTTCTCATCTTTATTACATTTTTTATTATTTTTTTATATATCTATGTATTAAATGTAATTAGTTTGAATGTCTCTGGCTGATATGATGATGATCTCTAGCTTTTCTCAAGGGAGTGGTCAGCGGCGACCGTATCACAAGACATCGTGCAGTGTTCAGACTGTTCACAACCACGTTATTTCAAGGAGGCTTAAATATTCATAAAACCAGAACCCACAAGCCATTACAAGTCCAAGATTGCCTCCTACAAATAGATTCCCCACCGAACGAAAGCATTTCCTCAAAATTAAGCTATTTAAAGTTCAATTGTCCAGTTATAAAAAGAATGCCAAGGGGTGCAAGAAACACTGTAGCCCTCTCATTGTCATCGTGTATCAATGACATAATCAATAAAAATGATTCAGAAAGTTGGAAAAAATTACTTACGTTTTCATATCGTCCACAATATGAAACGATATGATTTGAATGTACTGCACTTTGCTAAAGATGGCGTAAGCAATGGCATCTCTCTCACGCAAAGAATAAAAGATACTTGTTTTAGCTCAGTAAATTCGCTTGACAAAACTAACCCACAAGATGAATTTATAAATAAAATTAGTTACAATATAATTAAAAAAACTGAATCAAAATTGAATGATGGCGATTTGAGAGGTGCCGCTTGCCTTCTTTTCTGAAGTGATGCGTTGGCCCCCGACACTCCGGAAACTTTGTATTCCCTGAGGGCTAAACATCCACTCCCATCGGCTGCCTTAAATTTACCCGATGCTCCTGACCCTTCTGAGCGTACACCGGAAGCCACTGCTGAGAAGGTACAGGCTGCGATCAGTTCATTTAGTAATGGATCGGCTGGTGGTCACCATGGTCTTTCACCTCAAGATATAAAAGATCTTCTAGGAACACTGGCCGAGACCTTCTAAGTGTCTTGACGCAATTTGTAAATTTAATGCTTTCCGTAAAAGTTTGCCCAAACATAACGCAGGTACTTTATGGGCAAAATCTGTGCGCTCTTAAAAAAAAGGATGGGAGTGTTCAGCCCATAGCAATTGATAACACAATTCGCCACATTGTTTTGCTTGCTGAGGCCAAGGAAGCCTGGAGCAATAAGACCGGGCCAGACCAGATTTTTCCGACAAACTCAGCAGAGCAGAGACGCAGAGGCTTTGGGATGAGCCACTCAGCATCCAGGTTCAAAAAAAAACATAATAACATAACATAAAAACATAACATAAACACTCACGCCTGTCACCCAGAGGGGTAGGCAGAGACTACGGACATCCATTTGGCGCGATCCTGACACACCTCTCTCGCCTCTTTTACATCCATATATCTACGCATACACGCTCGTCGGTTATGGGTACTCTTAATCTGGCCCATTTTTAATGTATCGCCGATTTGGTCGATAAACCTTCGTCTAGGGCGTCCCTTCCCGACCCTGCCGTTCACTTCCGCAACATAAATTTGCTTTGTCACTCTTTCCTCGTTCATTCTTTCTACATGACCAAACCACCGAAGCATTCCTTTCTTAATCCTTGTCACAACGTCATCTTGCAGACCACACTTTTCTCTTATCACACTATTTCTCACCCTGTCATTCAGATTCAGCCCTAGCATACTCCTTAAGGAACGCATTTCTACAGCATTTATTCTACTCTCATGCTTCTTCTGCCAGACCCAACTTTCACTACCATACATTAAAGTAGGGACTAACACAGCATTATGAATTGCCATACGTGCCTTAGTTGACACATTCTGACTCCTCATAATAGCGTGTAGAGCCCCATTCACTCTATTTCCTGCGT